CGCTCCGACATAAACAATCACACGCTTAAATGTATCGGGCTGAGCAGATATGCATGCAGACAATGCACTCTGCAAATCATCCGTAAAGCGAGAACACGACTTGTGGCATCCACAGAAGCTTCAAGCCCTCACCACTGATTAATAGAAAGCATCCTGGCATGAACAGTGGTTGATAAATAAATGTACCCCTAGGCCTGTCACGATAACATTTTTCTGGGTGATTAATTGTCTCAGAAATTATTGCGACAAACGATGTTTCAAATTTGACAATTGTTAGTAATTGTTGTCAAATTTAAGAAGAAATGTTGGTTAATTTGTTTTGAGTGTAGTACCTTTTTTTGACCGCCGGATGGCAGTATAAGACTGTTTTAACCGAAGGATGGATAAATGGGAGGGAGGCCCGTTGACGTGACATGAGCTGTCTCCTTCCTTTTTTTCGGTTCTCATAATGGCGGACGCTCGGTGTGGTTTGAGCTCTTTAGCATAGCATTTATCACACAAAGCTTTTAATAAAAAAAATCTGTAAACAAGTTCTCAGCTTTTTTTTCAGAGTAAAATAACTTTTTACACGAAGGCACGGGTTTCAACCGTGAATTTTGGAGCTTTGACTAGACAGGTTTTTTTCCCCCCTGAGGTCGGCCTGTTAGCTTAGCTCATAGCTTAGCTTCTCGGCTTAGCTGCTTGTAACAATCCAAAAACACGATTTTGGATGGTTAAAATGGATTTTAAAGAGAAAAGGAGGGGCAAGATAGGGGCCAGAGGGGAGCACCGGAGTTGATCTTTTTTTGTTATCCAGTGTCTTCAGTAGAAAGAGAGAGAGGCAAAGAAACAATAAAGTCGATAATTTCCATTTATCATGCGATTAACTGATTTATTGTTTATTGCGACAGGCCTATGTACCCCAATAACACAGTAAGCGGAGCCCGGCATGCTGAAAGAAAGATTTTGAAAGTAAACGTGACAGGATTTGACTTTGTTAGCTTAACTTTTCAGCACAGGCGCCAAAGCTCTCTTTAAAGGGAGTAACTCCAATCAGTTAATTAAGCTGTTGATGTGGAGCAATTCAGTGCCGAGGCGTTAGAAGAGAACAAAAGGTTGCAGGATAATTAAAACTATTTGCCATTAATAAGACGTTAGCCAACCTCCCCCAGTGTGCATTCAGCAACTGTTCTCCCCACTAAGTGAGCTCCTCCATCACGTCGTGAATGGAGACACTGTACAAAATTGGCGTTGATGAAGCAGACGCAGCGCTCGCACAGAAACACTTACTGTGAGAAACTTCAAAAGCCATTCCCAGCCCGAGCCCTTTGACCCGCCTCGCCCACTCCCATTCATATCCCCCCTCAGACTCTCACCCTAAATGGGCAGGGAAGTGGGGTGCAGGAGGGCGTAATTACTCACCCCCTCCAGGGCAACTTTAATACCCTTTCTTGTGTTTTAATTGCACCCCCCTTCGACCTTCTTTTCATGAACACATCAGGACCATACCATAACCAGTTTGTAATCAGGCTGTGGGGACTTTGTTTGTGTGTTTTTAGTGTTGGCATGGGTGGGGGGGGGGGGGGTAGACAACCTTGCTTGTTCAGTGGCGTTATCGATTCAAACGCGATTGAAAGTAACAGCGGGGGAAAAAACACTTAAGCGCCAATCTAGTAAACAGTGTGGCAAGCAAACTAGAGATAAGCACTAAGCCCTCTGGATCGTTGCAAAATGATAATTATTGTTCTCCCCCCATCTGAAAAAGTTGGCTGCTGCACACTGTATTTAGCATGGTTAGATGGAAGATTCATCCGTACACAAAAGAGGCTTTCTTTCTAAAAGGGCTGTATGTTGCATTGTAGTGGTGTTCCAGACTTATCTGGCCATCAGCAGTCAGGCAGAGATGAGTAAAACGATGGGGGAAGGGGGCCAAAAAAGAGAGCCGGGAGTCAGTGCCTGGAGTTTTGGAGCCACTACGTCTGTCCTGTTACCAGGGGGTTTCAAGGAGACCTGTGGCAACAAACATCGCTTAACTAATGAGCGACTGGTGCCTTTACACTTTGATCATTAGTCACACACGTGGACCGTGTCATGAAAACGCCACCAAATGCTACATTAAAGAGCAGTTTTATGGGAATTTAGTGGGGAAAAAAAAATCTTCTTTAGAATGTAAGTCTTGCTTCAGCTCAGCTTTTGGAAAAATTATTTGTATCTAATTGGTACACCTTGTGCTTATAGCTTTAAATATGCTGGTGAAGTTTCTCAGTCATCCAGGATGGCAAATTTAATAGAAGTCCAGTTGTTGTTTTTTTTTTTTTTGGG